CTCGTCCACGATCTCTGCACTAGGCACAGGAAAGTGGCCGTCTAGGGCAGGAGGGCTGCCAGCCTGGCCACCCAGGACCAGGTGTGCATGAAAATCAAGGGGGTCCACTGAGACCCCCGACACTGAGCCCTGAGCTTACAATGGCCGTACTGGGTCAGACCAAAGGTCCATCTAGCCCAGTAGCCTGTCTGCCGACAGCGGCCAACCCTAGGGACCCTGGAGGGGATGGACCGAAGACAGTGACCAAGCCATTTGTCTCGTGCCATCCCTCTCCAGCCTTCCACAAACTTTGGGCAGGGACACCACTCCTACCCTCTGGCTAATAGGACTCCATGGACCCAACCTCCATGACTTGATCTCACTTCCCTTTAAACTCTGTTCTAGTTGTAGCCTTCACAGCCTCCTGCAGCAAGGAGTTCCACAGGTATACTATTTGCTTTGTGAAGAAGAACAACTTTCTCTTACTAGTTTGAAGCCTGCTACCCATTCCTTTCCTTTGGTGTCCTCTAGTCCTTCTTTATGGGAACTCAGGAAGAACTTTTCTGAATGCACCCTCTCCACCCAACCCCTGCTTTTAGAGACCTCTATCCTGTCCCCCCTCCGTCTCCTCTTTTCTAAGCTGAACAGTCCCAGTCTCTGTAGCCTCTCTTCATCTGGGACCTGTTCCCAACCCCTGATCATGTTAGTTGCCCTCCCTTCTCCCAGCCTTTCTCTTCCCCTCTCCCACCTCCTTTTCCCAGTCTCCCCCAGTTTTTTTCAATAAAGACAGAGTCAATGTTGGAAGAAACGTTATCTTTATTTTGTACATCAATAAGAAGGGGGGCTAGGGAAGGGTAAGTGGAAGGAGGTGAGGGAGGAATGGGGTACGAGCCCCCGATGGGGAGGACTGGGCTGGCTCTGCGGGCTTCTGGGGGTGGAAGCTCTCCTGCAGCCCCCCGATTGCCCCTTCCCCCCGGATGGCAGCCTGTGGCAAATGCAGCCGGGCTGATGGCCGAGTGCTGTGATGTGCCGAGTGTGGGCACTCAGGGCACTCCAAGCCAGGACTGCTTTGCAAGCGGGGAACCCTGAGTACTGTCTGTCCGGGGTGGGGGTCAGGTTCCTTTAAGCACAGCCCTCAGCTAGCCTGAGACAGCAGCTCCACGCTCTAAGTCCTCATCTGATGCCCTGCCGGCACTGCTTCCGGCCATCCTTAACCTCTGTTCAGGGTCCACTCTGTGTGGACATGCTAGTTCGAATTAGCAAAACGCTAATTCGAACTAGTTTTTAAGTCTAGCTGCACTAATTCGAATTAGCTAAGTTAGTTTGAATTAGCGCTGTAGTGTAGACATACCCTTAGTCTTTAAAGTGCTACCAGACTATTGGTTGTTTTTTAAGGTTTTTTTGGTCTTTTTGAGTAACTGCACAATTTGAAACACATATTACGATAAGGCAGAAACTTAATCTGGAGATAAATGTATAATTGATACTTCATAAATAGTTGAATGTTAGAAGTGCATGTTGAGTAGTAATAATATTTATGAAAGGTAATTCAATGTAGGTGTGACAGAGATCCAGTCATCCTTAGCCTGGACCTATTTAATTTTCTGGTTTTGGGATAAGAACGATCTTGTATTAAGAACATGAGAACAGCCATTCTGGGTCCATCTAGCTCAGTTTCCTATCTTCTAACTGGTGTCCAAGAGGGAATGAACAGAATGGTAATTATCAAGTGATTCACTGCTCTCACCCATTTCCAGTCCTGACAAACAGAATCTAGAGACTTAAAAAATAACAAATAGTCTTGCAGCACCTTAGAGAATAACAAAAAATGTTAATGGTATCATGAGATTTCCTGGGCACAACCCACTTAACTCCAGTGTCTTAACTTCATTCATCTGAAGAAGTGGGTGATAGAAATGTAGCCGTGTTAGTCTGGTGTAGCAGAAACAAAATACAGGACTATGTAGCACTTTAAAGACTAACAAGATGGTTTATTAGATGATGAAATGGCAACAACCAGAAAGGACACTGTCTCAACGACCTAATTACATGCATCCTACTCCAGAAGACTTTCAAATCTGCACTTGAAAGGGAATCCTCTGAACTGTCATTCATGCTAAAATTTGACACTCTCCGCGGGGGGGCTGAACAAAGACACCAACTACCTTACCCATTACAAAGATAGCTTCCCCAATTATCACCTCTAATACCATTAGCTCACAGACATCTACCTTTCCCCACCTCTAATATCATTAACTCACAGACATTTACCTTCCTTCCCCCCCTCCCTGCATCCCCCTTCTGTTCTGAAATGTGATTTGTCCTTTTCATATGTGTTCATTTTTTTTTAATTGTATCCTTTGGTATATATGGTTGTGACTATTTTCTTCCACTATTTGATCTGAGGAAGTGGGTCTGGCCCACGAAAGCTCATCATCTAATAAACCATCTTGTTAGTCTTTACAGTGCTACATAGTCCTGTATTTCATTGGGTAGATAAGTTTCAAAGGGAAAGACAATCCAGTCTGTAACAGGAAAAACTTAAAAACAACAAATAGTCTATTGGCACCTTAAAGACTAAATAGTTAAAAGAGGCTGATAAGAACCATTAGTTTGCACTTGGAAAGGAAGAGTACTAATACCAGATTCTACACAGACATCAAGAACCATTGGTTCTTACTTGTGTGGTTGGTTGATAATGTGAGAGCCATCTGATATCATAATATCCCATTTGCATGAGAGTTAAACTTGAGAATGAAGTGGAGTTCCATCCTTCCCTGTGTATTTGGTTTGTGGAATTGGTCTGAAACAAAACAGCAACTTGTAGATCCCTTAATGAGTGTCCAGGGAGGTTAAAGTGTTCCCCAACGGGTTTTTGTGTGTTGTCTTTTCAGATATCTGATTTGTGTCTATTAATTCTTAAAAGACCAGTTATCAAAAATGTGTCTGTGTTGGAAGTCGGTGATTGTTTCATAGTCTTTGCATTTGGCTTCCAGCTGTTAGTTTATTCAGCCTTAGTGAAGTGTTTTTAGATCTACAAATGAAAAGCCTCACGAGTGATTTTTATTTAATGTATTTATTTATTTATTGGTAAATAGTACTTTTCACATTCGAATTTGAACCTGGTGAAAGAGAGAGAAATGAGAACTGCATCTTGAGTCTGCAGTATGTCACTACCATCTGCTTTCAGAATTATTTTGCTTGGAGTTACTGTCCATGACTGAAAGAGAGAAATAAAGAAGACCAAACAAAGATTTTAAGACACTGGACTACAAGTTGGAAAAGTCTTGATATATCGCAATTAAATCTTTAGAGGATACAGCTCATCGGGGTTTCCCTCTGTAATTTAACAGAAATGGGGGTTTTTTTTGCCAATAAAATATTTTTTAAAAGTCTTGTTTTGATTTACATCCTAAGCTGCTCTGAGCTGTAATGGATAATACATGTAGAACAACATGCTGTCAGTTTTGGAGTAAACTATTTTCTGTAGGTAAGAGAGAGCCAGGCCTAAAGGAACTTACAAATAAGAGATTGCTGTCTAACATTCTTGAGAAGCTAAGTACAGTATCCTATCTGGCACGCTAACATAGAAGTCTTTATCTGACCACTTCACTTTAAAAGCAATCCTTTAGCTTTTTCTAGTGATAGAGAAATCTTTCAAGAGTGAGGTGTGTCTACACTGCACTGTTATTTTGACATAACTAATGTTATTTCAAAAATAACAATGTGAGCGTCTACACAGCCATTCTGTTATTTCAAAATAATTTTGAATAATAGATGGCTTATTCTGAAATCTGTAACCATTCTATGAGGAATAACGCCTATTCCGAAATAGCTATTTTGAAATAAGGTGCATGTAAACGCTCCACTGCTGCTATTTCAAAATAGCCCCTCACCAGGGCCATTCTAAATTATTCCTCGCCAGTCCCTCCTCATGCTCTAAATCAAGATAGCATGTCTACATTAGGGGAGCTTGCCTCGGACTAATTTTGAGGCTTCCTTGCAGTACAGGCGTGCTATTTTGAAATGAGCTTTTTCGGAATAACTATTCCAGAATAGTTTATTTCGAAATAGCTGTGCAGTGTAGATATGTACCCTGAGTGGAATTGCTTAGGAGTTGCCTCTAAGGTTACCCCTTTAAGATATTACAAACAAAAATACATTGGACAAGAATTTGAATCTTTTACAGTATCTGAAAGTAAATTCAATCTTAATCCACAGCCCTCCTTAAATATCCTAGTGTATTCTTTCTTATCCATGATAGAGTCTTCCGTTTTGAAGATTGGTTTCCATCACCTTAGATGTTTTCTTCATTGATAGAATAATTTGAGTTGAGCTATCAATAGTTTGTTTTGTTTGCACGTTGTAAATATAAAGTTTTATACTAGAACTTGAAATTTGATAGATTTAATATCTGTAACTAGACTATCTTAGGGTATGTCTACACTAGCCTCCTAGTTCAATCTAGGGAGGCTAATGAGGGTGACCGAAATTGCAAATGAAGTGCGGGATTTAAATATCCTGCACTTCATTAGCATGTTCCCGGCCGGTCGCCATTTTAGAAATTGACTAGCCCAAAGTAACTGCCCGCGTCTACACGCGGCAGTGAAACGGGATTCCAAATTAAAGCCCTAAATCAAATTAGCTGGTAAACCTCCTTGCAGGAATCCCGTTTCACTGCCGCGTGTAGACGCGGGCAGTTACTTTGGGCTAGTCAATTTCTAAAATGGCGACCGGCCCGGAACATGCTAATGAAGTGCAGGATATTTAAATCCCGCACTTCATTTGCAATTTCGGTCACCCTCATTAGCCTCCCTAGATTGAACTAGGAGGCTAGTGTAGACATACCCTAAGATAGTCTAGTTACAGATATTGATTTCACTCAGACCTCATTTCTTCTGTAAATCGAAGCATAAATTCCATTCAACCTGCAGCTAGGGCAATCAATCAGTTTATGCTGACGGTTCTTTAGGATGAAGGTTGAAGAATCATTTGGGTACCACTCACCTGGGGTGGGAGTGTGGGAGCTTTCTGATCTGCTAGAATATCAGGTCGCATTGTTGATCCATTTCCCAGAATAGTTTTCAGTGCTAGCACGTACACTGAAATGCAGCTGCTGATTTCCAGTAAGATTCTCCAGGAGCAAAGCCATTAAGAGATCTGCACAACTCATGCCATTATTTAAAATAACTGAGAGAAAACAATTTTTCATAATCAGTATTTAAATCATTTTTCTGAAAAGACAGCGGTGAGTTAGGCTATGAGCAGGACCCTGCGTGCTCTGGGACATGCAGTATATATTATATATATCAAGGAGTCTGGGCTTGGAATCTGTGGTGTTCTAGTGGAGCAGACTGAATGCTTGGTTTTGGCTTCAGAAATATGAAAAATTGGAGATTACTTTTACTGAATTATATGGAAAAATGAGTAATTTAATTGGAACAACTTTCCTTTTGTTATTTAATTTAGTATTCAATTTAGCTAATTTAAAAATGCAAGGACAGGGTAATTTTTGATGTGCTGCAAAATTGTGTGCTGAAAATGGTTAATTGTATCACAGAAGTTGTCAGAGTGAAGTTTTGGGAGCTGGATAGGGACAGCTGGGGAACTGTGAAAGGTTGCTTAGGGCTTTGGGATAAGCACCTTTGCTGCGTGTTTCTGTTAATGTGGCCATTATATATTTTTCAGAATTGATAAATTATAATTGTTGGGTTTTGGTCAACATTGTTAAGATGAATGCGGCAGTTCACGCCCCCCTTAGAGCTACTGGTTCAGCCTGTATGCACACTCGGATAGCCATCAGTGCATCTATGTATTGCCAAGAGGCAATGGTTCTTCCTTTGAGGGATTCGGAGGCAATAAGCACACAAATTGGGTGAAGGCTTAAAAAGATTACTAAGCAAATATAAGGGTAAAATACAATGCTTAGTATTAGAATAAAATACAATGAAGCAAATCTTAGAATAAAATACAATACTTATTAAGCCTAAGCGGATCTCAGAATAAAATGCAATGCCTACGTCCCTTCTGCTGCTGGGAACCCCCTGAAGAAGGACAGAAGATGGACCCCAGTTGCCAGTGCATAGCACCTTCTGCGGCTTTGGTCTACATCGTGGTTCCAATGTTAGGAATATTCCTGGACTTTATATACTGTTGGATCTACAGTAATCACACCTGTTGTTTTGAGAACCTAAGAAGATTGTTGATACATTGCATATTTTCCCAGATCCAGTAATGAGCTTGTTGATACATAGAATCATAGAACCATAGAGCTGGAAGAGACCTCAGAAGGCCATCAAGTCCAGCTCCCTGCCAAAGGCAGGACCAATCCCAGGACCAATACTTTGCATATTTTCCCAGGCCAAATAATTAGCATTATCAGGAGGGAAACATTCAGCAAAGATAGCTATGTGATCTTCCCAAGCACTCCTTCACTCCCATACCAGGCGGCTGGCCTTGGGACCTGTCCCAGAACTTGTTGAAAGTCAACAGTGCATTCTTACACTGTACCATCTTCAGCAAACAGCTAACTTTGGGTATGTCTACACTACCCCGCTAGTTCGAACTAGCGGGGTAGTGTAGACATACCCAAAGTTAGCTGTTTGCTGAAGATGGTACAGTGTAAGAATGCACTGTTGACTTTCAACAAGTTCTGGGACAGGTCCCAAGGCCAGCCGCCTGGTATGGGAGTGAAGGAGTGCTTGGGAAGATCACATAGCTATCTTTGCTGAATGTTTCCCTCCTGATAATGCTAATTATTTGGCCTGGGAAAATATGCAAAGTATTGGTCCTGGGATTGGTCCTGCCTTTGGCAGGGAGCTGGACTTGATGGCCTTCTGAGGTCTCTTCCAGCTCTATGGTTCTATGATTCTATGTATCAACAAGCTCATTACTGGATCTGGGAAAATATGCAATGTATCAACAATCTTCTTAGGTTCTCAAAACAACAGGTGTGATTACTGTAGATCCAACAGTATATAAAGTCCAGGAATATTCCTAACATTGGAACCACGATGTAGACCAAAGCCGCAGAAGGTGCTATGCACTGGCAACTGGGGTCCATCTTCTGTCCTTCTTCAGGGGGTTCCCAGCAGCAGAAGGGACGTAGGCATTGCATTTTATTCTGAGATCCGCTTAGGCTTAATAAGTATTGTATTTTATTCTAAGATTTGCTTCATTGTATTTTATTCTAATACTAAGCATTGTATTTTACCCTTATATTTGCTTAGTAATCTTTTTAAGCCTTCACCCAATTTGTGTGCTTATTGCCTCCGAATCCCTCAAAGGAAGAACCATTGCCTCTTGGCAATACATAGATGCACTGATGGCTATCCGAGTGTGCATACAGGCTGAACCAGTAGCTCTAAGGGGGGCGTGAACTGCCGCATTCATCTTAACAATGTTGACCAAAACCCAACAATTATAATTTATCAATTCTGAAAAATATATAATGGCCACATTAACAGAAACACGCAGCAAAGGTGCTTATCCCAAAGCCCTAAGCAACCTTTCACAGTTCCCCAGCTGTCCCTATCCAGCTCCCAAAACTTCACTCTGACAACTTCTGTGATACAATTAACCATTTTCAGCACACAATTTTGCAGCACATCAAAAATTACCCTGTCCTTGCATTTTTAAATTAGCTAAATTGAATACTAAATTAAATAACAAAAGGAAAGTTGTTCCAATTAAATTACTCATTTTTCCATATAATTCAGTAAAAGTAATCTCCAATTTTTCATATTTCTGAAGCCAAAACCAAGCATTCAGTCTGCTCCACTAGAACACCACAGATTCCAAGCCCAGACTCCTTGATATATATAATATATACTGCATGTCCCAGAGCACGCAGGGTCCTGCTCATAGCCTAACTCACCGCTGTCTTTTCAGAAAAATGATTTAAATACTGATTATGAAAAATTGTTTTCTCTCAGTTATTTTAAATAATGGCATGAGTTGTGCAGATCTCTTAATGGCTTTGCTCCTGGAGAATCTTACTGGAAATCAGCAGCTGCATTTCAGTGTACGTGCTAGCACTGAAAACTATTCTGGGAAATGGATCAACAATGCGACCTGATATTCTAGCAGATCAGAAAGCTCCCACACTCCCACCCCAGGTGAGTGGTACCCAAATGATTCTTCAACCTTCATCCTAAAGAACCGTCAGCATAAACTGATTGATTGCCCTAGCTGCAGGTTGAATGGAATTTATGCTTCGATTTACAGAAGAAATGAGGTCTGAGTGAAATCAATGTAGTAAGTAAGGGTATGTCTACACTAGCCCCCTAGTTCGATCTAGGGAGGCTAATGAGGGTGACCAAAATTGCAAATGAAGCGCGGGATTTAAATATTCCATGCTTCATTAGAAAGTTCCTGGCCGGTCGCCATTTTAGAAATTGACTAGCCCAAAGTAACTGCCCGCGTCTACACGCGGCAGTGAAACGGGATTCCTGCATGGGAAAAACTTCATTCAGAAGTCACACCTTACTAGTCATCAGAGAGTGCACGCAGGAGAGAGACCCTTTAAATCAGAGGTCTCAGACTCACGGCCTGTGGGCCATCAACAGCCCAAGCAGTTCCACAGTCCAGCCCCTGCATGGCTGCCAGCACGTGAGCCCCTGCAACCTTGGAGGGTTTGTGTCTGTACCCTTCCCTCCACCTCAGCCCCTGCTCTGCCCCCACTCCTCTTCTTGCCACTGCTACACCCTCTCCCCCTGCCATTGCATCCTTTCCCTCAAGCGCCTTCTCCTAAGGGACAAGGCCTTGTGGATTACCAGGGGGCATGGAGCAAGGCAACAGCAGAGGTTGGGCCTCCCCATGTTCAATTTGTTGACAAGAGCCGTGATAAAGTGGAGCAACTGGGCTGGCCTGGAAGTTGGTGGCCAAGCAGAGAAAAGTCTGCCACAGTAAATGTGGGGGGGCTGGACCCCAACCCCTGCTACCAGTCCCAGCCTGCCCAGGACCCCACGGGCTAACCTGAGTATGTTCTGTACATAGGATGGTTGGGGTGGCCACGGCAGGCTCCCCAAAGCACAGCCTGGGACAGCTGCTCTAAACCATTCTATGGCCGAGATGGCTTTGCACACCCCTCCCCTGGGCTACAGGGATGTGCCAGTAACAGCACAGAGCTAGCCATCAGAAGCCCCTCTAGCCGTGCTGCACTGCTGGTGGTGGTGGCACCGGTCCCTGGAGGATTTTAAATCACCCAAATGGAGCAGGTAGGGCCAGGGGACCTGCTGGGGAGCGAGTGGAGATGCTCTCAGAGCCCTGCCAGAGGAGGGTGCCTACTTAGGATTAGGATTGCATGCGGGGTGGGGGGGGTGGAGTCCGTGTCTCGGGAAGGATTTGAGGACTGCTACTGGCCCTAAGTTAGATGTGAGTTGGAGACCCCTGCTTTAAATGCCTTACATTTGGGGAAAGTTTTCATGAGAGCTTGCAGCTGCTTAATGAGCCCCACCCAGAGGCTTAGGGCTGTGGCACAGAGAGCTTCTAGGGTTACCAGGTGGCTTCAAAAAATACCGGACACACTTGATCTCAGATGGGGGTGGTGACCGGCTGGGAGAACATAAGAACATAAGAAAGACCACACTGGGTCAGACCAGAGGTCCATCCAGACCAGTATCCTGTCTGCCGACAGTGGCCAATGCTAGGTGTTCCAGAGGGAGTGAATCGAACAGGTAATGATCAAGCGATCTCTCTCCTGCCATCCATCTCCACCCTCTGACAGAGTCTAGGGACACCATTCCTTACCCATACTGGCTAATAGCCATTTATGGACTTCACCACCATGAATTTATCTAGTTCTCTTTTAACCCCTGTTATAGTCCTAGCCTTCACAACCTCCTCAGGCATGGAGTTCCACAGATTGACTATGTGCTGTATGAAGAAGAACTTCCTTTTATTTGTTTTAAACCTGCTACCCATTTGTTTCATTTGGTGGACCCTAGTTCTTATATTATGGGAACAAGTAAATAACTTTTCCTCATTCACCTTCTCCACACCACTCATGACTTTATAGACCTCTATCATATCTCCCCTTAGTCTCCTCTTTTCCAAGCTGGAAAGTCCCAGTCTCCTTAATCTTTCCTCATATGGGACCTGTTCCAAACCCCTAATCATTTTGGTTGCCCTTCTCTGAACGTTTTCTAATGCCAGTATATCTTTTTTGAGGTGAGGAGACCTCATCTGCACGCAGTATTCAAGATGTGGGCATACCATGGATTTATATAAGGGCAATAAGATATTCTCCATCTTATTCTCTAGCGGGTATGTCTACACTACAAAGTTAATTTGAAATAACAGCAGTTATTTCGAATTAACTTTAATAGTATCTACACAGGCAAAC